CCGCCCTGCGTGCCGGCGGGGGGCGCGGACACGCGTGGTGTACGCTGTCCCGGTGCAGCACGCTCTTCCTCTGGCTGCTGGGGTCCTCCAGCTGGCCCTCACTGCTCATATCCCGGCGGATGGACCCCAGCCCCACCCTCCTGCGCTAAGATTCCTTTCTCCGGGAAGTTCTTCGGAGACTCAAACCCCAGTGCCCTCCAGCCGCGCCACGGAGCGGGGGCCCGGAATGGAAGGCTGCTGTAAAATCAGGAAGCTGAGCGCGCCGGGCCCCCAACCTGATAAAGAAAAGGCTTCCATCCGCTCCCCTGAACGATGCCACGCTGAGGGGCTGAACCCCGCACCCTAGCCGCGCTCATCACCCCCATCCTCTGGCCTGGGCTTCTCTGACCTAGGGGTGAGTCTGGGGTCCCCAATTGGTCTGACTCCTCATCCCTATCCCAGGGCGGCTCGGAGCTCACTGTGCTCTATGCCTCCAGGGCTTGGCTCCGGTGGACTCCGTACCTACCTGGTAGCCTCAGGCTGCACAGGGCTGTTTTAGGGCAGGAGATATAAGATCTTGCACCACAGCTGCAGTGACCAAATCCCTTAAGGTGGCTGGCCCAGGATCAGAGCAGTGGGACCAAGTGGCCCAGGCCCCTCCAGCCGTGTGCCCTGACGGCTGCTTGAGTGGCCCCCTTGCTCAGCCTCTGCTGGGGAGATGCAGCCAGGCTTGCGGAATGCTGCTCTGGCATGGACACCCGTGGGGGCAGGGGGCTGGCTGTGCTGGCAGGAGGCTGCAGAGGAACGCTGCCAGGCTGGGCAGGCACCAGGGTGGGGACTACAGGGCACTGGGCCTGGCAAGGTCTGGGTGGTAATAGGGCTACCATCATGGAGAGGAGGCCTCTAGGCCTCTCGTGCGACCATGTCATCTTCAGATGCCTTTTTGTGCCCCCCACACCTACCGTAAGCTAGCTGCTGCCTCATCCTGGGTCATTCTCACATTGCCCCTACCCTGATATCTCCCACTCCGTCCCACATGCGTGCATTTCTGTTTACCAAGTCCATACCCAGCTGCAGCAGTGTTCCCTGGGTATGCCACCGGACTCATGAGTGGGCAGGAACTCTGGGGCTTGCTCAGGATGTTGGTTCAAGGTGCCAGGAGAGGAAATGGAACAGAACCAGGGTCTTAGGTACATGTCATGAAACAGCCTGATTGTCTTATAATACTGCAAGGCTCCCCAGAAAGGGGAAGCCATCAAGACAAGAGCCAGGAAGGAAACATCTCCTAGGCAGAGAGAGATGGCTAACGGAGTGCCGTGGGTAAGAGAATAAAGCACATAGCCAGATGGACAAAGGAGAGAGACCCTGGTGGGAAAATGACGGGATCAGGGAGCAAGGGGCACAGACTGGGACATCCCCCCACAGCTGGGAGGCTTCTGGCAGCTGCTGCAGACATCCTGCACCTGCATGGGTGCATAGACAACTGGCTCAGCTCCCAGAGGCCCCAGGCTGAGGCCATGCCAGAGCAGCTTACATGCCTCAGACCAGCCAGGCACCTCAGGGCTGTCTCTTCTTCCCTCCCAACCCACTTCCTCATCTGACTCACAGAGGATCCTTGCACTGGCCTGGGAGGTGTTAAGGGAGGGATTGTGTACCCATTGGGTGGATAAGGACTCTGAGGCCCAGCCTAACTGATTTGTCCCACACATCAGCAAAGGGAGGCTGGGGAGTTGGAAGGAGCCTGGCAGAGAGGCTGCATGGAATACAGCTGGGGCCATTTCCAAGCCAAAGCTTAGAGAGGGTGTGGCTGGTATGACTAAGGTGGTGATGCTGGCTCCTTCGGGAATGGCTCTGGCTATGGCAGTCAAGCAGGAAGAGGGGCCAGAGGTTGGGAGAGAAGGACATGGTGGAGGGCTAAGTCTCTTTGATGACTCCAGCTATTCCCGTCTTGCTTCTCTGGCCTGAAGCTCATAAGCTGGGGAGTCCCAGGTCAGAGCCTGAGCTCTATGAGAGGCTGTTGTCACCTGGTCACACTGAACCTGTCAGGAAGGAGCTCTCTGGTAGGCCCAAAAGGGCTGCTGGTAGCTGCAGCTTGAATGTTAGCATTTACAAGAGCAGAGGGAGAGGAATGATATTCCAGGCAGAGACAGGAGTACCTGCACAGGCCAGAAGGATTTTAAGAGCAGACAGTCCAGTACCTGTAGAGCACTGGAAGGGGCTAGATGCAGCAGAGACAAGACGTGAGGCTGGTTGGTGGAAGTAGCTGGGTAGAGACAGGCAGAGGCAGAATTGGTCTTTTGGCCTTGGTGAGGACATGCAGTGGAAATGTCACCTTAGGGGAGGTCAAGGCAGGCCACCTGGAGGGGGCAGGGTGGGACTGAGGTACTGCAAAAGAAGATTCTAGACCAGAGCTGCATGCCTGAGGGGCAAGTCAGGATTCTGTGCAAACAGCTGACTGGGCAAAGACAGAGCTCAGTGATCCTTCAGGCACTTGGGACTGGGTGCTGGCAAGGTCAGCAAAGCCATCCCCCCTGCCTCTACAGGACAGTTCACAGTTGTCCTATAACTTTTCTAAGTATCTATCTAGCCTCAAGTTTTGCATGGCAGAGGAGACACAGACCAAACTGTCCAGGCTTGGTTGGGGAAACCAGATTCATTCCAATGGACCTAGAAAGAATAGTCCATACTGTGGGGCTTGGGGGCACAATGCAGGGCTCAGCCTCCCTGGGCGGTATGGAAGTGTGTGTAGCTGAGCTAGAGCAGAGCAGACTAGGTAATGCCAGAAAACAAGGCCACTCAACTTGGACGGCATGGGGGTAAGTGGGGTGATAGGGAAGTTTAAAGCTACATACTAGGGTTGGGGAACACAGATCTGCTGGGTGTGGAGTTGTGCTGGAGTTTTGCCTCTGCTGAGACAAGCACTAATAGACTACAGCTGCCCTGGGGTGGGGGCCTAATGCAAACCAGCAGGTTGCCTGGTTCTCTCTCACAGTAGAAACAACCTGGCCTTGACATTCAAGGCCTCCCTAGCAGCTTCTAAGTTCCCCTTCTATCCTGTCAGTTTAAGGGACTCTGGGCTTCTCACTAGTGACTGAGCTTGACCCTCCATATGAACACTATGGGACTCCTTCACTCCTCCTAGACTCAAGGCCCAGGGACTTGTGCTTGGTTCTAAGCATTTAATCCACCACAGTCCTGGGGGAGGAGTCCCTAGCATCCCGGTTTTTCAGATAAGGAGCTGAATTACATAGAAGTCAAGCAAATTGTCCTTCAAGTTACCCAACGGGGAAGTGACAGAGAACTTGAACCCAAGTAATCTGGTTTTGACCCACAGAGGTCCCCCTAGTTCTTTACCATCAAATTTCAGGCTTTTTCTGGGTGGTGGCTTGGTGGACTAGGACTGGTAAAGTACCAACCCAGCCTCCAGCCTCTCTGGGCCAGGCTTTCTGCGAGACAAGACTAACCTGCAGGCTGGTCTGGGAAGGGATGAGTACATTTGGCTGTTTATCATGCTTAGCTGCTCCCTCTATATGCACCCTCTTTCAAGACTTATAACAGAGGCCCAGGTTCAGGGCTCACAGCACAGAATATAGGTGTTTATCCTAAGACCTCAGGTAACTCTTTTTTTGCCTTGCTGTACTCAAATGGCTCTGGGCTGGAGAGATGCAACCCTCTCCAGTCTAGCCTGAGTTCTGCAGGCTGTGAGGTTCAGCTCAATTAGTGGAGTCTGAGCTTGATGGTGAGTGGAAGGTCTGTGGACTATTTTTTTTTTTTTTTTGAGACAGAGCCTCAAGCTGTCACCCTGGGTAGAGTGCCATGGCTTCACTGCTCACAGCAACCTCCAACTCTTGGGCTAAAGCAAGTCTCCTGTCTCAGCCTCCCAAGTAGCTGAGACCACAGGCGCCCGCCCGGCTATTTTTTTGTTGCAGCCATTATTGTTGTTTGGCGGGACTGGGCTGGATTCGAACCCGCCACCTTAGGTGTATGTGGCTGGCGCCGAGCCTAGTCTGTGGACTCTTAAGAGTAGCCCCACTCAAGGCCTTCTGACGCACAGGGAGGGGAAGGCAAGCAGCAAAGGAACACTGCCTCTACCTTGTATTGCAACCTTGAAAGAGGCCCACTAAAGCCTCTTAGCCTGTGTGTGCATGGACATGCAGGCTCTCCTTGCCTTGCATTCATCAGGCACTGACCGGAGTGTGTCTGTTCTGAGGGGACCAAGTATTCTATGAGCTCCTCCTCGCAACACCTCTGGACTCCTGAGAGGCTATAGCCTTCACAGCGACAAAGAACTTCTTCCTGCCCAGCAGAAATCCTCATTCCAGTACTCTTCCCTCTCTCATAAGTCCCTCATGGGCATGAAGGTTCTCACCCAGCTGTGGGTAGTAGCAAAGTCAATTGCTTCTTCTAAAAACCAGTCTTGGGCTTTTTGTTGTGACAAAGGGGCCCGTTCATTGTCTACTGAGGTTATCTTACTCTGTAAACTTAATCTGTCTCTTCCTCAATAGCTTTGTTTCACACTTTAAAAACCAAAAAAAAAAAAACTCCAAACCAGTCTTTTGGAAATGTGAACCCAGTCCTTTCTACCTTGTGAGGCGTGACTACAAGGCCCCCTACCTGTCTTCCTGGTTAGCAAGTCCTTCGAGGCTAACTACTGGTTTCTGACACCAAGGACAGCCTCCTTTCTCTTCCAGTGATGCCCAGTCAGCATTCAAGAGAGGTATTTT